GATACATAATCTGTAACGCCGTTCATACTTTGCGAAGGTAAAGGGTCCGCAAGTTGGTGGCTCGGTAGAATGCGCGCAAACTAAAGTACAAATATCGATCCCGAGAACCAGCGATTTGGGATCGAGGCAGGCCTGTCGCTGGGAAGTTTTTGTAAAATACGACCCCCCCCCTCCCCACCGAAATCCCCTCACCTGGTACGATCCCCTTCCCCATCATACCTACCTTCTTCCTGAACTCTCCCAAATTCCTACCACCTCCTCCCTTCAGCGACCAAATACGACACCCTCGCTGACACCCTCAGCGACACGGTTCGGGAAAATTCCCACAAAGGTACAAGTATCGATCTGTAGAACCCATGATTTGGGAGGCAGTGGACACCATCGTTGGGGAATCCCATCAGGGGGGGGGGGTCGTACTTGTGCGATTTTTCCTGTTTCATTCGCTCTACATAACCTGCTCTCGCTCAACTGCAGTTTTTTGTCTGGAAAACTGGTAAAGTTAACAGGGCACATCGTTGTTGGGGAATCCCCAATAGGGGGGTCGTATTTGGCCGCCAGGAGAGGGGGTCGTATTTGGGCTGGGAAAAATTTATTTTGATAGTTGATTTTTCTCGCTTCACGGACGTTGTAAAGGGGGGGGGTCGTACCAAAAAGGTGGAGGGGGTCGTTAAGACTCGACTGAAATCCCCAACCAATGATGTGCCCTGAAAGTTAAGCAAAAGGTGGGAGAGGGCGGGAAGGATCGTTCTGGCACCACACATCACGATGCTGTACCCCTCACAGAGAAGCGGAGTCAATCAATTTCCATCTAATCTATCCTCGCGCATTACTCGCAGTTCTCCAAATTAATCTGTATACTGTCCTTTGTCACTGGTTAGCGCGAATCGCACTATTGTTCCTACGTGCGGCTTCCTGATAGTCGCAAAGTATAAACACAGCTTGGTGAAAAGGCGCGTTCTTACTTTGCGACACTATAGAGTCGGAGAATCGCGGGATTCGGGTCGTCGGAGAATCAGCCACAAGAAAAGCATTGGTCTAATGAGTAGGAACGTCGCGAAAGAGAACAGTACGCAACGATCGATCTCCAATTCTGACAGTGTCAATCGATACACTTCTGATTCTTTCTCGAGAATTCTTCCATTATTCAGGCTAATGTGTGTATGCACCCCTTTTCGCGGACCTTGCAAATCTCCCGGTTGGGCGAATTTCCCGATTCTCAAGTGTCGCAAGCTATAAACGCAGCTTCTGATGCGCTGAACTCACAGAACGCCATATATTCGTCCTCATCTTCGGCATCTTCTGATGGCGGCGGTGGTATGCGTTTCGCATGAACGATTGCATTCTGAAAATAAACGAAATCGTTGCCGTCGTAAGACGACGCGATACCCGGTTAGGTGACGGGAATCGCGACATTATTCTCAAATACTACAAAAAAAACATGGCCTGCAAGAGGAAATTTAGAAAAAAAATCCGAGAGACGGTGACAGTTAGGAAACAAAAACAATCGTTGATCATAAATGATACCATACCGTTTCAAAAACCTTGGAAAGTTACGGTATACAGTAAGACTAAGTCCCGTTTCTATTGAGCAATCACCTGAGGTCTAAAGAAGCTTTCAGCAGGGAAATGGGAAGAGCTGAGGTCAGAGCATCGACTCGTCTTCGAATCCTCATCGTCTGTATAGCTACGATCCGTACGTAGAACCTTTGCGAAGAATACAATAATTGAGAGACCGTATATAAAATCCCAACAGATACCTACTGAGAATGAGTTTTGCTGAATATCTAGAGGAAAACCAAAAATATTCCACGATCAGCACTAATCCCAAGGAGCTGCTTTTCTATACTAGCTTGTATACTCCATAGCTTAGCGATTTCAAAAGGTAAGGCTAGACCCACGATACTTCTTCACTATCTGGGTGCCCTCCCCAGTGACATGTAAACTACTGCTAAGCGCATTGATATACTCATCAGCCTCGATCCGAACACTGAGCCAATACATTCTGTGGGGCAGTTCGGCGACGGGGGAAGGGGCATTCCCATATTTTCCATCGACGTATCGATCTTCTGCAAAGCTATTCCATGAGCGTAACTTGAGTTTGCCAGGTTTGTAGCCCTAGTATGCCGACGAGCTTGCTGTAGGCCTTCAAACAAGAGTTCAACGCATGATTTAATTTGCAGAGTGGATTAAACGGAACTTGTGAAATAGCGAAAGTGCAAAATGTCTCCCCCCCCGTCGCCGAGCTACGCCCATTCTGTGTTGGGGAGTAGAAATTCTCTACAGCAAAGCATACCTGAGAGGATCCTGACACTTCATCAATTCTTCGTTTTGTGACATTCCTATGAACACTGAACAAATCATCCAAAAACATTAGCGAACTGTAGAATTTCCATTTCGGAGTCACCGGCATGGAGTGTGTCGTTATTGTATGACAGCTACAAGTAAGCACAACAACGGCAACTCATACAAAGAAACAAATCAATGACCTAAAGACACACTGCACGTTTACCTTGATTGTTCTTTTCATGAGGAATGAGATGGGCAAATTCGCAGCTGAAAATGATCACCACCTCTTACAGTAGCGGCGGCAAGATACAGGCCGAGGGTGTGAAGGAGCTGGATAGAATTTAATGTTCCAATGGCAAGCAATGGCAGCGCTACAAGACACGCTACACGCCACACAACAGTATACGTTCGTACGTGGTTCCGGTGCACCTATTGTCTGGTCAGCTGTAGTTTGTCTGGTCCGGCTATATAGAACAATGGCGTATCGCAGACAAACGACAACTAGAGCGCGCGCACAAGTGGGACGTCTGGGCTTTGCTTTTTAGACGCGGCGGTGCCGCGTGCTTGCGTGTCTATGACGTTTTTCTGGACCGTACAGGCATGAGAGATGAAAGAAGAACCAACTATCGCATACTACCAGGCATCTGCATGCATGACAGTCCCAGTAGGCAAAAGGATCTTTTTCCACTGCTAGCGGATCCTGCTGCACCATCGTTCACTGAAAAGCACCACCTCGCAGGTGGGCGTGCGAGTGGTCGTGTCCTAAAACCACAGTCCCTCAAGTAACTTCCTTGTCTTCACGTAAGTGTCTTTAGATACTTCAACTGTTTGCTCCACTTCTCAGCGAAAAAACAAAAGACAATGATAACCTTATTTCCCAGAAAAAAAGGAAGCAGTGCAATGTCAATACAAAGCAGAATGTGTTAATGTATCTACACAAAACCCATTTACCCCCTTCCCCCAACTTTTGTGAAAACTTTGAAGTGTTTTCTAGGCGCCATACCACTGTGAAGCGGTATATGGGCAGCCATCAAGCATGGAGACACTATTCTCCCCTTGGCCTCCCAGTCCCGCAAGACCCTAGGCACACCTGATCAAACGCGACCCGAACTGTTTTAGCACAGAGGCGTTAAACAGCCCCCGTACCATTCGCTTCGCGTTATGCAGCTAATGCGGATCCAAGATACCATAGGGGAGTGAGCACCCACATACAGAATGGTATACCCCTAACGGGTTTACAAAGGTTAATAAAGTAAATAGAAGAAACCACTCACGCGTGAGCTCTGGATCGAGCTGATTCTGTTGATTTATCAAATTTGTGACTTCTACAAAAAGTTCTTTCCTTGAAGGACCAACAGTTTTCTCTCTGAAAACAACAATCTACAGTAACCCTTCGTGGAGGTCCATGTCTGTATCTAAGACCCTACCTCTGACAGTCCCAGATGCCAGGTCGTAGATAGACAGCATCGATAATACTGAAGCGAATTTCGTCGGTGATCATCGAACCGCTGTGATGAAGATGAACAGATTCACTCCTCTGGAAACGCTCTCTTAACCCAAATCAGAATAAAAAATCTTTGGATTGTTGCCGTATTTCGCTCTTTTAGGCTTCTACTACGTCGGCAGATGCTACAGCGTGCAAGCTGACAAGACCAAAGGGGAAGTGTACAGCAACAATGAGGATAGTGACTTACGTGAGAGAAAGAGGCGCTAAATGGGGATTACACGAGCTAGGAAGCCCCATTTATTCAGGGCGTTTCGAAAAATGCCCTGAATAAGACCCTTTTAATATCGAGCACGCTCAAGAATACTGAGCCCGGATGAGTTCCTGTGTGTAAATATTAGAATGATGTTCATTTTAAGGCAGGGTTCAGACTTTGCGACGATGCATTGTAATGCGCTGCAATTGCGAAGAGCTCCAAGACTACAGTCGCGAACGCCCTCGCGCACTGGAATCGATTCGACGCCGCCTTTTGGAGGCTAATGCCGTTTGAACTTCAGAAATTTCGTCTTCGAGCTCATTTTCAAATTGCCTAAGTCACCAACTCCACTAAAAAGGCTAATTTTCAACATGGCTGATTAGCGAGTGTAGGCTAACGCTTCTTGGCGCTGGCGCCAAGACAGGACACTACGATTACCTTCTGGGCTCAGCCTTAGCAGAGCGCAGATAACCGTAGTGTCATCCATTAGCGCCAGCGCCAAAAATGAATGTCATATTCGTGATCAGGATGTTGAATTACCCCTATATACAAGTTTTTAGCGAATTTGGTGATCTTGCCACTTTCAAAATAAGCTCGAAGACGAAATTTCTGGAGTTCAAATGGCATTAGCCCCCTTGGAGGATATTGCCCAATCCTCTAAGGTAGCGCCGATCGATTCCCGTCTGACAGGCTGTCAGTGTCTATGAGACTGTTGGGAGCGCTTTTCGCAATTAGAGCGCGTCGCGTTCATCGGCAAAGCCTGAACGCAGCCCTACTCTGCTGTGAAGTCACTGGGGATCACCTGGCCACGCACTTCCCCAAAAACGTTTAGGCTTAGAGCAGAGACGACCAGAGTTGTCGAAAGACTATACCGCATAGGAGGGTCTTCACTAAGCCTAAGGCAACGTTCGGACTTCACGGCGGCAGCGCCTGGTGTGACGTTGGCGCACCATCGATGCGCACGCTTACGACGAATCGATCGCGTCGAACGCGCGGCAGAAGCGCTGCCGCCCCGAAGTCTGAACGGTGCATAAGCTTCTATAAGTTGAACAGGGCACATCATTGGTTATTTTAGCCGTCTTAACGATACCTTTTTCTTGGGAAGTTGCTAGCGACCCCCTCCCCCAGCCCTTCCTCATCGAATTCGAACGTACGAGCGGGGGGGGGGGGGGGGGGGGGGGGGGGCATATAGTACCGCATGAAACGGGAAAAATAACAAATACCAGAAAAAAGTCAACCACAGCTCCGCACGAAAGCGCCAAAACGTAAATACGACCCCCCCCTCCGAACTCGATAAATAGCGACCCCTCCCTTTCACATGACGTCATGAAGCACAGAAATCAACTATAAATAATTTTTGCTCAGCCCAAATACGACCCCCTCCTGGCGGCCAAATACGACCCCCCTACTGGGGGTTCCCCAACAACGATGTGCCCTGTAGTTGAAGGAATACGACACGCTAGCGAGTGGTTCTCCGGACTAATGCACTTTTTACCCTTGAATCCTTTCGTTTCCTGTCCTGCCGACGTTAGTGGCTGCTGGAGGTGGGTGGAGTTCCAGCATCTGGGGAGGAGAGAGCACCGCATCGCTTTGTTGCGTCATTGACACGTTTTTCCACGTGAAGAAAACGGCACTTCATGGACGGCTGGGAAAGAGTGCATCTTATGCGGAGGACGCCTACCTACTATGTATTCACACGCCCTTTATCTAAAGACACCACTAATTCCCTTCTATGTCGCATCAACCCCATAAAATAGTAAAGTCGATCAATATGGGGCTTGCTAATCCTGAAAGAGTGGGATCTCCTCAAGACTGCTCTCATTTCTGAGCTCGAAAGGGCAAACAGCCTCCTTTCATCAATCTCAGTAGCACTTTCCATGTCGTAAAAATGATTGATGAGAAATAGTTAATATCCAGCGGAACGTATCTCATTCCTAATGCATTACTCTCATACCATCTCGTTGATATGCAGCAAACACTAGAAAAACTGCAATTACTCGGAGAGGCTGCTAAAGCTCATCAGCAGGCCTTGAATAGGGTGAAAATCCAAAGCAACCCGAAAGTGAGTGACTCTATCCAAACTCGCCAATTATTGAAAACCCCAATAACAGTGATATGATCTGCAGAGTGATTCTTCATTCGGGACAACAGAGGCAGAGTTTCCCCGCTTGAAGATGCGGAGCAGCTTGCACAGTACGTGCCTTTCAGCCCTTAGTAAGGCGACGTTCAGATCTCGCGACGGCTGTCGACGTTTGATCGATGCAGTCGAAAGCATTGCACGCGCGCCAAGCGCGCAGAACTCAAGCGCTGCCGTCGCGAACTCCGAACGCGGGGAGTGCACGGAGCTTTGAGAGCTTCGGAGGACTTCTGTCAACCGAACATTCCCTCGCTGAAGGACCGAGTATTCTCTCATCGTATCTAGTGGCCCAGCACGAAGCTTCTCATGTGTGGAGGAAAAAAGGAAGAGGAAATTGGGACTGGACTATGGCTTCAACTATCCAGATGTGATTTCAAGACGTGGTTTTTTACTTCAGTCTGCACTTAGCGAATGTGAGACTGAACCCCGACCCATACCCCATGGCTGTTAAACTGCACATAAAGCAATAGCTCAGCAAATGAACTTGGGTTCGATTCCTCACCCTCGGACCTTTCACAATATGGTCATTGACGGGAATCCCCGAGTTTCCCTCCCGATCCGTCAGCATGTCCTGCATCAGCCAATGGAACCACAGCTTGTCTCCCCACTCCAAAAAGACTGATAGGTCGGTCGGCCGACACCCCAGACAACAGGAAATGCGCCAAAAATAACTTTGGCCAACTTGGTCTAGGTTTACCATAGATTGACCTTCCCGCAACAAAAACACCAACATGGCGCTGAAACAAATTCGAAACCCCTTTTGTCGCCTAGCCCTTTTACCAGTCCGTATCCCCACACAACAGGAATTGCGCAGAAAACAGCTTTGCCAAACAGAGTCTAGGTCTACCATAGATTGACCATCTCACCTACAGGGCGGTGAGAGAATTTCAGAAGCCTTTTCCGACCTGGAAAAGGGCTTTAATTCTCATATGGATTGGTTATTTGTCCGTCCGATACCTCAGACAATAGCAAATGCGCCAACAGCTAGCAGCGCTCAACGGAGCCTTTGTCTGCCATAGTTGACTCACCCTCTTCAAAAACACCAGCAAGGCGATGAAAAGATTTCGAAACCCCTTTTTCACCTGGAAAATGCTTCAACTCATACCCCCACACAACAGCAATTTGCCGAAAAAACTTTGGCCAGCCGAGGTCTAGGTCTGCCATAAATTGACCCTCTCCTATCAAAAAACAACGCGGCGGTGAGAGGACTTTAAAAGTCCTTTTTACCTAGGAATTGGCTCTAACTCTTATATGGATCGGCTATGTATCAGTCCAAGACCCCAAATAACAGAAAATGTGCAAAAAACGAACTGCAGCCTACAGAGCCTAAGCCTACCATAGATTGACTATCCCACATCAAAAACACCACCAGGGCAATAAGACCATATCAGAGGCCCCTTTCCACTTGGAAATCGTCTCAAGCTCTCGTACAGATCGGCCATTCACCAGTCCGAGGCCCCAGACAACAGAAAACGCGCCAAAAATAACTCTGGTCTACGCAGTCAGGGTCTACCATAGATTGAACTCTCCCACAACAAAAACAGCTACGGGGCGGTGAGACCCGTATTTGGAAAGCGCCTTTTAGCACGCTAGAATAGCTTGAACTCTTGCATAGATCGGCCATCTCATCAGACACCGATACCAGAAATTGCGCCAAAAAAACAACATTGGCCGCAGTAGTCTATGACTACTACAATTTAACCCACATCAACCCACCTCACCCACATCAAAAACGTCGACAGGACGGCAGGACCATTTCGAAACCCCGTTTTCACCTGGGAATGGGCTTTAGCTCGCATATAGACAGGACTTATCAGTCCGGGACCCCAAGACAGTGCGCCAAAACAACTTTGGTAAACGGACAGATCGGCCACTCATAGCCGAGACCCCAGACGACAGAAAATGCGCCAAAAACAATTCGCCCAACGGACTCCTGGTCTACGATGGACTCACCCTCTCACATCAAAAACACCAACAATAAGACCATTTTGTAACCCCTTCTCCGCACAGGCATTGAAATTGACTACTTCTATAGATCGGCCATTTATTAGTCCGAGATCTCAGACTACAGAAAATGCGCCAAAAACAATTTTGAACTGAGACGGGCCTAACCTTGACTACCGGAACACAACCCGGAGACTATTCCAACTCAAAGTGAGCATCTCACAGGAGCTGTGGGCGCGGACCCGACCTCGACCGATCACGCGTTGATCTCCGATCCCGGACAATCCGACGCGGACGAGTTCACCTATACCAATGACAAACCTGAACTGGCTGTGTGGGCGATTGCTGATGATTGCCGACCCAGGGTTGATCAGCTGCATGAAGTGTCTGCAGGTTGTGGTTTTCAACAATTGGAGGAGGTTTCTGAATAATTCACCATTAAAGTGCATCGAATGTCGCAAACAGGGCTCACCGTCATCACCGCGCCACCTGCGCTTACAGTTGTCGACGTCATATCGATGATTGGGGATAGCCCAGACGACCTATCACGTTCGACTTGGGCTCAATAATGAAAGCAAACCGACCTCCATGAACTCGTTGAAGACCGTCGCGATGCGAGCCGATGCGGCGTCGTATGACGACTGTGCGGCCCACGCGCGCGGCCCGGACGCGTCGCGTGCGGCGTCGCGGTCGCCACGGCTGCCGCCACCGCCACTGCCTCGACCACTCGTTGAGGGTGATCGTTCGTTGTGCGGCTTGGTGTTATCGCTTCACTTTCGCTCTGGTCTTACTAAAGCCAGCTGGCACCTTAGTAACGTCCCATGGATCTTCTATCTCGGAATTTTGAATAAATGTGTCGTATTTACTACAATTAATGCAGAAAAGTGCGTTGTAATCAGGGCATGTCCTGCCGCTGGGGAATATTCTTGCAAACGACGGCCTTCCCCCTTTCGCCATCCTGCC